ATTTCCAGGTTTGGCGATGTTCATTGGCCTCGTCGGTCCCCAGATTTATCCATATGCGATTTTTTTCCTATGGGGACACCTCAAGGCTAGAGTATACGCGAACAAGCCCCGAACTCTGGACGAATTGAAGGGCGATATTCGCGTGGAAGTCGCCCAAGTTGAGAGAGCGATGTTGAAGAGAGTCTACGCGAACTTCCAAGAACGCCTCCAGCACTGCACCAACGACTTCGGCCATCACATGTCTGATGTGATTTTCCACACTTGACTGTCTCAAATGCTATTTCCTTGTGAACCTGATTCCATCAATAAATTTGTTTTCGAGTAAAACTTAACTATTTTATGATTTTTTTAAAACCGTCCATCCTCTCTGCCGCACCCTGTAGTAGACGGATTTTGCGATAGGCAGTATGGCTTCCGTAAAAGGAGATTAACTTTAGATACCATACAGGAATTCATAAGAATTACCAAGAAGTCAGACGTCATCGATAGCAGGGAGAGGCAGCTATGCGCTCTTATAACCCTTGATGTACGGAACGCATTCAACGTGGCATCCAGAGATGAAATTGTTATCAAGCTGAAACACATTGTATCAGATGGTGATGTATTGCCCCTGCTTGTGAGTAACTTGGAGAACCGCAAGATCAGGATAGAACCTGGTAGGGATCATCTGATAGAGATGAACGCAGGAGTTCCTCAAGGCTCGATTCTCGGTTTTACACTATGCAATGTCTTGCACACCGACTTGTTAGAACCGGAAATGCGACACGGTATAACGCTCATAGCCTACGCGGATGATCTCGCTGTAGTGGTCGTCGCCAGAGGTGAGATAGAGCTAAAACAGAAGGCTGACTGGGCTATCGAAGGGGTCAGCTGTTGGCTCAGAGGCAGGTCCATGTCCTTAGCTCCAGAAAAGACGGAAGCAGTGATAATCATCTTGGTAGATGGACAAGAGGTTCGACAGGGAAGGCAGTGTCATACTTTGGCGTATGGATTGACTGTAGGATCACCTTTGGGGAGCATATAAGCAGGACGACGACAAAGGCTGCAAAACTGGTCGCCCTTCGACCTAGACTGATGCGAAACATTGGAGGTCCGCGAGCAAGCAAGAGAGCGACCTGAGGTTCAGTGGTTGTTATGCTATACGCATCTTCCATATGGGAAGGGGCCATGAGGATAAACCGGCATCTTGTCAAACCGCAGAGAGTTAGTAGAAGGATAGTGCTGCGAATTAGTAGTGCATACTGCACGGTATCGGCTGAGGCTGCTGAGGTCATTTATAATACTCTACCCATAGACCTGGCAGTGGAAATGAGAAGGCAGGTGCATGAAGATCCCACTAACTAAAGACAACCAGCGTACGATCAACTGGGGAGAAGTTGGTAGCAACGATGGCAAGTTACCACTAAGGGCCGCTGGACGAGGGCAGTGATACCAAATCTGGAGGTATGGGTTAAAAGAGAGCATGGCGAAGTGGAATTCTACCTGACCCAGCTATTGACAGGGCACGGGTGTTTCCAAGCGTATCTTAACAGATTCGCCATTTAAGACGACTCATCATGCCTGTACTGCGGAGTCATGGACGATGCCTTCCACACCTTTTTCAGGTGTCCTAGGTGGGAGGTAGATAAACAAGAATGGAGCCAGTGCTTGGGCAGGGAAGCCACGGTGGACGACATTGTCAATTCGATGCTGCAGTCGCTTGATAACTGGACTGCTGTCACGAATATGGCAAGAGGTATACCAGATCGATACATGTTAGAGGACTCACAGAGAAGAACGAACAAATGGGACGAGAGGAACGACACGTTCATCCTCCCCGAACTCCTAATCCGGTTGATCCGGGAGGGGAGATGTAGGTTGGAAGAAGAGAGTTATGGAAGATGAAAATGATGAAGAAAAAGACAGCCTGCGTGTAAGAAGATATACCATCAGCAGCAGTTTCAGCACGTCCGGAGGTTCATAGGCCCACTCGCTCCAGGTTGCGGCCTGGCGACTGTCTTATATACTAAGTGACATATAAATCCGAACACCCAGTTTAAATGTTTTTATTTTAATAAAATTTTGTATAAGTACTTAATGAAGCATAATAAGTAAACGATAAAAATTTCCAAATGATTGCACTGCTTTAAAGCCCTTTGACCTTTAATAATGTCTGGATGCACCCTGATGTGCTACGCATTCTCCAACGCGCCTAGGCATGCTTCTGATCAGGTGGTCAATGTCCTCCTGTGGTATCTCATTCCAGGCAACCACCAACTTCTCTCGAAGTGCTTCTAGAGTCTGAGGAGGACGTTGCAAATTGAGCAATCTCCTACCCATCATATCCCACACGTGCTCAATTGGGGATAAGTCGGGAGATCTTGGTGGCCATGGTAATAATGTGACATCATTATGTTGAAAGAAGTTTATTGTGACTCTTGCAACATGTGGTCGGGCATTATCTTGTTGGAAAGTTGGATCTGCCAGGGTGTCAAGATAGGGTAAAAGATGGGGTTCTAGAACTTCGTGGATATAACGCTGCGCGTTCATGTTACCTCTGATGAAGATTAAAGGTGACCTGGAACCATAAGCTATAGCACCCCAAACCATAACTCCAACAGTGTGATGAACATGTCTTTCAACAAAAAACTGTGGATTCCTCCTTTCACCACGTCGCCTTCTAACCCTGGCACGACCATCGTGCATGCCTAAACAAAATCGAGACTCGTCACTAAAGATAATACTGTTCCATTCCTGATCCCAGAGTGACCGTTGTCTGCACCACTCAAGGCGATTACGTCGGTGTTCTCGAGTTAAAGGGAGGACTCAGTGTGGCCGGTATGAAAACAAGCCAAAACTTCTCATTCGTCGGTAAACACTTCGCATGCCAATAGGTCTTCCGTGTTCTGCAAACCATTCATTTGCAATGGACCTGGTAGTGGAGAAACGGTCCCTTAAGGCCAATAATCTTAGGCGGCGATCTTCACGGTCTGTTGTTCTACGGCGGCGTCCAGTGCCCCTTGCTCTTTGCGTACGGCCTTCTCGAAGCCATGCCTGACAACACCTAACCACAGTGTCCACACTTCTTTGCACTCTAACTGCAATTGCCCGAAAAGAAAGTCCAGCTTCCCGAAGTCCCACTATACGGCCCCTATCAAACTCACTAAGTTGACGAAATCGTACAGGTCTCCGTACTCTAGGCACCGTAACCGATCGTAAAGGATGTCAAGAACCAAAATCCGCCAACGTTGATTCTTTACTGCGGCTGAAATATTCATTTTTAGAGCGTTAGTGAATTAAAAAAAAGCAGTATAAAAACCGGAATGTCCAACTGATAAGGCTGAACATTTTTTCACTTGTTATTTACAGTAAGATAAATACATTCACCAACTTTTATTAAAATAAAACCATTTAAACTGGGTGTTCGGATTTATATGTCACTTAGTATTTAAAAAAAGTATCAACTAATGCTTGGCGGTGATCTGGTGTAAAACTCTTCCAAATTTCTTGGAGAAGGGTTCGTAATCCTAGAACGGTTCTTGTGGGATTCGATCGGAGTTTTTTCTTCATGATATGTTTCAATCGGCGATAGATCTGGACTACTCGACGTCTACTTTAAAACTAAAATATTGTTTTCTAGCATCCAATATTTTACTTTTTAGCCGTATGGCAAGTGGCACAATCTTGTTGAAAGATACATGCAGTATTGCTTAAACGCATTTGTTCAATTTGGGGTATTAAGTTATTTTGAAGCACATTAATGTACTTACCAGCATTCATAATACCTTTCACAAAGTGTAAGTTTCCCACTCCACTTATTGACATGAATCTTCAAATCATAACAGACTTTTTTAAAGACAGTCATTCTGAAACACTTCTTCTTTAGATCTTATGAAACGACTTTTACTACCACCAACGCATACTTCAAATCTGGCTTCATCACTCCAAATAATGGAGTTCCATTGGTTCGGAGATCATGAATTCTATTCTTTGGTCAACGCTAGTCTGTTTTTCTTCTGAATCTTTGTCAGTAAGGGCTTTCTTTTGCCTAGAAATACTGAATTAGAAACGAATAATAAAAAATAATTTAAGCCCACCTCGTAAGTTTTAAATCTCAGTTTTGGAGCAGCCCTGTGACAAGTTGCTATTAAAAACTTTTTATGGTTGCCTGATACCATATCTTCAATTCATTATAAGTAGCATGCCGGTTTTCCCTGATAAATCGTTTTAGGGCTCCTAAGTTGGTATTGGAATAACGCGGGCGACTTCCAGTTCTGGGTTATTGAGCAACAGATAAAGTTTGTTTTGTACAATTTGATGATATTTCCAAATGTATACCTCTATTTGTTAACACTGTCAGCAATTTAGGAAGCATTTGAAAATTTTAAAAGTCAATGATCACTTTTCTTATTTTGTCAGAAACAGCTTTAACACGAGCCATTTTTAATATTGTTAACAATAACAGCAATGAATTGAAAGTTGACTTAAACTTCAAAAATCAAATTCTTAGCAACGTAAAATGTTATCATTTGTTTTAAAAAGCCTACCTCTATTTTATCGAAGCGAATATACAAACCATTCAACTTACGTTGTCTCCATCATGTATTTTGCTATACACATTGCAAAGAAGACAATTTCGAAATAGAAATGCTTTAAAAATAGCCGCATTGGTGGTTAGCACTTAAATTCAGAAGTATGATGTTTTGGGGCGTTCGGCCAACTTCACTGAGACAGGGCTCGTACACATAATATCCGACGGCACAGCTTTAAACAACCAGAGCTGAACATCCCTAATTATCAGCAATGATATATGCCTACTTAAAGTGAGTAAATCATTGCTTTAAAAATAATTCCTATCACATAAGATGTGAGAGAAAGTATCAGCAAAAATTTTTGAACAATTTTCCCCTCCTGGCACACTTGTCAATATCCATATTCTAACAAGAATAGCAATACACGATATCCTGAAACAGCTCTAATAGAAACATGATTAATATTCCACCATAATGTGTTCTTTCCAGGAATAAATTATAGGTTATGTTCAATGGAAAGGATAGAAACTTTCACTGGTGAAGAAATACAATTAGTAAGACTCAAGAATCCGTCAGAAAATTCCTCAGAATACATTGGACCTTGGTGTTTAGATTCGCCGGAATGGTCGGAAGTGCCACCTTTAGAAATGGAGAGGATACAAAAGAAATTGCAAGAAGGAGAAATTTGGATGCCATTTGCGGAGTTCGTGAAAACTTTCACACACTTAGAGGTGAGTTCTTCACTGGACAACAAATTTTAGTTTTTTAATTGTATCTTGTGGGAAAAGTGCACTTCTTTGTTAATTTTGGGGCGCTGAATCCAAAAATGACAATGAAATAAAAAAATTAGTTGCGGTTTAGAAAAAAACTTTTTATTTTTAAGGATATATTAAAAAAAGTAACAAGATTCATATACTTATAAGAATCACTATATGCGCTGTCTTTTTGCTGTTCTTTTATGGATCGTTTCTAGAGCATCTCTACCAAGAGTCCAACAGTAGTCTGCTAGCATGGAAGGATTCCACTTTCCCTGGTACCTTTTTTCCATTGTTGAAATATCCTGATGAAAACGTTCGCCGTGCTCATCACTTACGGCTCCGCAATTGTCAGGAAAAAAGTCCAGGTGTGAGTGTAGGAAATGTATCTTAAGAGACATATTACAGCCCATCTTTTGATACGATGACAGCATATTTTTGACAAGGGTTTTATAGTTGTCAGCTTTTCTATTTCCCAAGAAATTAGTGACCACCAGACGGAAATCATTCCAAGCAGTTTTTTCAATACCTGTTAAAGTGTTTTCAAACTGTGTATCTTTCAAAATATTTCGAATCTGTGGCCTAACAAAAATACCTTCTTTAACCTTTGCCTCACTTAGTCTTGGAAATTTCTGACGCAGGTATTGAAAAGCTGACCCATCTCTATCTAATGCCTTGACAAAGTTTTTCATTAGGCCCAACTTGATATGCAGTGGTGGTAATAAATTTTTTTTCGAATCTACTAATGGCATATGCTGTACATTTTTTTGACCTGGCTCTAGGAATTGACGAACAGGCCAGTTTTGTCTGGTGTAATGAAGTGCCTTTGCCCGACTGTCCCATTCACACAAAAAAACAGCAAAACTTTGTGTAGCCTAGCTGCAGCCCAAGTAAAAGTGCAACAACTTTCAAATCGCCACAAATATGCCATTGGTGCTCATCGTATTTTATGCATGTCAATAGGTACTTCATATTGTCATATGATTCTTTCATGTGAACTGCATACCCTACAGGAAGAGATGGTAAAATATTTCCAATATGCAATAACACTGCCTTTAAACTCAATGTTGAACTGTCTATAAACAATCTCCATTCTTCTGGGTTATAGTTTATATTTAAAGCCGCCAGAAAGCCGTTAATGTTACTGCAGAAAACCAAGTTATTCTCCATATTGAAAAATGGTTCTAAGTCTTTGTGGCGTTTACGAAAAACACATACCGAAACATCGTCTTCTAACAAGTGCCACTGCTGCAGTCTTGATCCAAGTAAGTCTGCCTTACATTTTGGAAGTTCTAAATCTCTTCCAAGATCATTTAATTCTGACTGTGTTATTTTGTGCGGTTGGTGGCATGACGTGCTCGGTATAAAATCAGGATCTCTTGACGTTGATGGCATACCTTCTTCCTGACGAATCACTCGATCGCCATGATCTGATTCGTTTTCTGATTCGCAAGTGTAGGATTCTGGGGGTTTTGGAATAGGATTTTCGTCACTGTGAGGCACAGGTCTCATCGCAGATGGTATGTTTGGGTAGTTAATAACCGATTTTTTTTTGGACATACCTGTGGCTTGTCCAACACAAGGTACCATGCAAAAGTAACAATCATTTATATGATTTGTAGGCTCTCTCCAAACCATTGGGACAGCAAAGCGTATAGACCGTTTTTTGCCATTTAACCAGCTCCTCAGACTTGAAGCACATGTATTACAGCAGATGTGGGGTGCCCACTGTTTGTCTTGATCACCTAGTTTACAACCGAAATAAAGCTGATATGCCTTTGTTATTAGTGGAGTAATAGACCGTCTCTGAGACGCAAACGTCACATCACCACACACGTAACAAAACTGATCTGGATTGTTTACACACTTTCGAGACATCTTGCATGAACGCTGTCAGCCAACTGAGGAAAAAATGGCTAATATAAAACAATATAATGTACACGTATGTATAACGTAACACAATCATGCCGACTACATCATCTTTCCTTGCCGAATATAAAAATGTAGCACATGCATTCTTGTGAATCACAGTATATTAACACTGTCACAGTAGGAACACATATAATTACCGTATCTCTAAAACTTGAACTAATATTGAAAAAATGAGTTTAATTCCGGTTTTAGCACATTAAAAATAGTAATATTTTGTTGATTTCATTTAGGATATTTTTTGGCTGTTGATCAGTGAATTAACATAAACCAGAAGCCTCCCCTAAAGCGGATCCTTGGTCTCTGATATTCCACTATCGCCAAGGTACTATTTAATAATATTAATCGTCTTTATTACTATAAACTACTAAAGGTGAAATCTAACTCAAAGCTTCTCTTACACCTTACACCTAACGCCTACTGAAGGTTAGGTGCACTGGATTAAAATTTTACTATTGTTCAATACAATGTGAAAGTAGCATAAATAGTTACAAGTATGTTGCTCCGGTCTGGAGTTGATTCCTGCCGTTGTATTGAAGAGATGTGCAGCGTTCTTTCGCGTATCTTCCAGATTTCCTACGACTCCGGCACTTTTCCAGAAAACTGGAAATTTGCAATCGGCCTACCCATCCCAAAAAAAGCATCAAAGACTGACCCTTATAGCTAAGGGCACATAGCGTCTGGAGTACCTCGAACGTCCCAGTTTGATCAGCGACAAGCAGTGTGGTTTCCGGCACCAGCGATCCACAGGAGACCTCTTCGCTTACGTCTCGTTGCTCTACATACTATATCACGGAAGTGTTCAATTAGCTGTGGCATGTTTCTATTTAAACTTCCATTCTATGGCCTCCCCAGGAAGGTTTGCAGATGGGTGGTTGACTTCCTCTCTGGCCGTAAGATATCTGTCTTAACTGACGGGTTCTCCTCTGCATCTCACAACGGCAACGCGGGTGTTCCTCAGGGATCGGTCTTGGCTCCGACATTGTTCTTCTTACATATACTAAGTGACATATAAATCCGAACACCCAGTTTAAATGGTTTTATTTTAATAAAAGTTGGGGAATGTATTTATCTTACATATAACAAGTGAAAAAATTTTCAGCCTTATCAGTTGGACATTCCGGTTTTTATACTGCTTTTTTTTAATTCACTAACGCTCTAAAAATGAATATTCCAGCCGCAGTAAAGAATCAACGTTGGCGGATTTTGGTTCTTGACATCCTTTACGATCGGTTACGATGCCTAGAGTACGGAGACCTGTACGATTTCGCAAACTTAGTGAGTTTGATAGGGCCCGTATAGTGGGACTTCGAGAAGCTGGTCTTTCTTTTCGGGCAATTGCAGTTAGAGTGCACAGAAGTGTAGACACTGTGGTTAGGTGTTGTCAGGCATGGCTTCGAGAAGGCCGTACGCAAAGAGCAAGGGGCACTGGACGCCGCCGTAGAACAACAGACCGTGAAGATCGCCGCCTAAGATTATTGGCCTTAAGGGACCGTTTCTCCACTACCAGGTCCATTGCAAATGAATGGTTTGCAGAACACGGAAGACCTATTGGCATGCGAAGTGTTTACCGACAAATGAGAAGTTTTGGCTTGTTTTCATACCGGCCACACTGGGTCCTCCCTTTAACTCGAGAACACCGACGTAATCGCCTTGAGTGGTGCAGACAACGGTCACTCTGGGATCAGGAATGGAACAGTATTGTCTTTAGTGACGAGTCTCGATTTTATTTAGGCATGCACGATGGTCGTGCCAGGGTTAGAAGGCGACGTGGTGAAAGGAGGAATCCACAGTTTTTTGTTGAAGGACATGTTCATCACACTGTTGGAGTTATGGTTTGGGGTGCTATAGCTTATGGTTCCAGGTCACCTTTAATCTTCATCAGAGGTAAAATGAACGCGCAGCGTTATATCCACGAAGTTCTAGAACCCCATCTTTTACCCTACCTTGACACCCTGGCAGATCCAACTTTCCAACAAGATAATGCCCGACCACATGTTGCAAGAGTCACAATAGACTTCTTTCAACATAATGGTGTCACATTGTTACCATGGCCACCAAGATCTCCCGACTTATCCCCAATTGAGCACGTGTGGGATATGATGGGTAGGAGATTGCTCAATTTGCAACGTCCTCCTCAGACTCTAGAAGCACTTCGAGAGGAGTTGGTGGTTGCCTGGAATGAGATACCACAGGAGGACATTGACCACCTGATCAGAAGCATGCCTAGGCGCGTTGGAGCATGCGTAGCACATCAGGGTGCATCCACACATTATTAAAGGTCAAAGCGCTTTAAAGCAGTGCAATCATTTTGAAATTTTTATCATTTACTTATTATGCTTCATTAAGTACTTATACAAAATTTTATTTTAATAAAACCATTTAAACTGGGTGTTCGGATTTATATGTCACTTAGTATCTACCTCCTTACCAGGACAGTCAATCCAGTACACAGTTTTGCTAATGACAGCACTCTACATGAAGGAATTCAGACTGGCAAGAAAAGAAGACTAGCAACGACTTTATGACGAGAGACCTGGAGCTCCATTGCTTGAGGACGTAACGATCTGGTACAGTTTAATGCTTCCAAAACACATTTTTCTACTTTGACGAAAAAGAAGCATCCCAGCGCTCATCCGGTTTCGCTGGATGGCCGAGATTTACCAAAGTGCCGTTCATTTCGGCTGGTCGGAGTCCATATCACCAAGGATTTGATCTGGGACGAACACATCTCGTCAATAGCAGCAGCTGCTGGAAGAAGGCTAGGTTATTTGTTTATGGCTAATAAGCACTTTTTACCACATGACCTCCTCATCCTGTACAAGACACACACAAGACCAAACCTCACTCATGGTGTACAACCGGTCCTGCCAGCGGGAATTAGAGGATTCAAAATTGGCTAATTGGTTGTACCGGTGACTCAACCGGAGCTACTGCTTTGTCTCCGATCAAGAGTAACATATGTCCTAAAAGTTTTGACACAAAATATTTATTGGATTTTTTTTAATGAATGTGTTTACATTTATTAAAACACTAACTGGTTATAAATTACAACTCAATACGCAACTAAACTATGTTATATGTGGAGTGGCCCATTGTGCTCTACCAGACGCAACTTTCTTTGAGTGTCTCTCATGAGGTCCTGGACGAAATTCAGAGCACTTTCTCTACATTTTTCGTAAATTCGTCGTCTTAATTGTTCTTCATCTTGGGTTTATCAGTAGACAGTAAAGCTCAAAGATCCTCTACTGAGCGAGTAAGTTTGAAGGATTATCCTTTTGGGAACAAAAGGTATGTTGTTTTCTTGATGCCAGTTTTGGGTATTTCTTGAGAATGGCATGACCAAAACATGATATGGTCATTAGCATGATATTCGTGCACAAACTAAAGCAAGCTGCGAAGCTGTGAATTGGGTTGATCGTGCAGGAAAGGACGTCGTTGATATGTAAGAGAAACAGTGTTGGAGCCAAGACTGATCCCTGGGGAACACCCGCGTTGTCGTTGTGGGATGAAGAGGAGAACCCGTCATTACGACGGATATCTTGCGGCCAGAGATAAAGTCAGCCACCCATCTGCAAAGCTTTTCTGGGAGGCCATAGGACGGAAGTTTGCTTAAGAGGACAGCGTGCCACAGCTGATCGAATGCTTTCGTGATGTCAAGAGCAACGACATGGTGGGCCTCACCATAAGACTGGATGAGTTTACTCCACAATTGCGTGACGTAAGCTAGGAGGTCCCCTGTGGATCATTGGTGCCGGAAACCATACTGCCTGTCGCTAAAATATCAGGAATATCGTTAATATATAAAATAAATAATAATGGACCTCATTTGCTACCCTGTGACACACCTTCAGAAATGTTTTAATGTTTGATAATGTATTGCCAATTTTAGTTCTTTGACTTCTATTGATTAAATAATTTTGTCATAAGTTGAATTCTTAACCTTGAAATCCATAGCAATGCAATTTCGTTAACAATTTCTCGCTTTCAATAGTCTCAAATGCTCTCTTGAAATCTAAGAACAATGTTACAGTATCATCCATACTTCGCCTCCATTCTGCTACTACCATTTGGATTGCTGTTTCAGTAGAATACTTTTGTTTGAATCTTGCTTGCAATTTTGTTAATATTTCATTTCCTTCAATATATTCAATGATTTGTTTATATATGATTCCTTCCCTCTAACTCAGAATTTTGCACTCTTCCATTCATATTGAACCAACCGTTGGTATTATCAATCGCGAAGCTGAATTTGTGATATGGTTGTATGACAAGCTTCATTTCTATCTTCCAGGTAGTCCATCTAGATAGTGATACTAGTCGAGACGAGCCGAGTCTCCGGAATAAGAACACCTGGCAGATGCGGCTGTACCAAGGTAACTGGCAGAAAGGCGTATCTGCTGGAGGATGTCGGAACAATCCAGAAACATTCCATATCAACCCGCAACTGCACTTGCTGCTCAGTGAGATGGAAGAAGTCGTAGTGTCGTTGAACCAACATAGCATTATGGAACCAAAGGTTATTGGATTCACAGCTTACTCTTTGCCCAAAGGAAGCGGGGAGAGCATAGGAAAGTCGTTCTTCAAAAAGAATAAGTCTCTGTTCAATTCGCAATACACAAATAGCCGGCAAGTTAGTTACAGGTGAGTCTTTTTTTACAAAAATGGCGTGGTTTTACAAGTAGTAGAGAATGAAGTATAACAAGGATTTTGAAGAGTCTATAGTTTCGCTTTTCATTTAATTGAAGTAATAAAAAGCAATATTACTACTGTATCTGAAGAAATGACGGGTCAAAGCTTTGTTTCATGTTTCATCTTTCATCTTTCCTTGTATTAATTCTCCCATTTTGTAAGTTTCTATACATGATTATGTATACAGGGTGTCCGCAAAGTTACGCGACGTATAGATCTACAGAGATTTTTCCTAGTAGCATATACACCAAAGTCTTAAGATAACCCAGATATTAGGTGCCCCAAAATCGATCAAAGCTAAAGCAAACCTAATCTGCTCCTGTATCTCGATAGATAAAAAGTGAGGAGGCACGATTTTCATTAGTACTCAATCCTATATGAAGATAGGTCCGCAAATTCTTCGTTCTCAAGATCCAGTGTGTTAAAATTAAAAATAAAATGTTTTTTCGTAAATTTCTTAAATACCCTTTACCTGATTTTGGTGTAATTTGGCGGTGGTACTAATAATATTAAGGAGCTAATTTAGCCGGTACTTGATTAAAGATATCAAGTCCATTGGCGTTTCGAGCAGGATCTGTACGAATATTTGTGACAAAAAAATGTACGTCACTAACTTTGTGCAATTTTTATTATAATAATAATAATAATAATAATAATAATAGCCTTTATTTAACCTGGCGGGTGTCAGCTAAAAGCTGTTTTTCATACCAACCAGGGCCAAACAAAATTATAATACAAAATCTGGGATACATAAACATTGTTGAGTAACAATAATGAAAAATCTATTATGCCAAAAATAGGCATTTTTTTAATTTAAAGAAAAAATCCTATATATTCACAGTTAACAGTTACACCATTACATAAGTTAAAAACTAAATAATATAAGGTATTATGACATATTTTCAAAAACAATTTTTTTTACTTTTGACCTAAAAAGTGGAACAGATAAAACTTTAAAGCTGACAAGCTGACAGGGAGCATATTATAGCGATTGGGTGCAACAAAAGAGAAACTCTTAGTAAATAGGCTGGTTCTATGATGGGGCGTGTTAAGGGTGTAACCAACGAAACAGAGGTTGGCTGCATGATGCTGACTTCTCAAGGATAACTTATTATTTAAGTATATAGGGTATTTGGTCAATAAAATGCTATGAACCAAACATAAAATGTGAACCAACCACCTCTGCCTCATCGTCAACCAATTCACTTCTTGAATAAATGGAGACACTCGCTCCCTTCTTCGGATTCCAACAGAATATCTAATACAGCTGTTCTGCACTTTCTGAAGTCTGTAAGCTTCGGCTTCAGTCAAACAAGGACCAAACACGGAACTTCCATATTCTAACTTACTTAAAATGAGTGAATCGCAAAGCTTAATTTTAGTATCTTGAGACAACACGTAGCTGTAGATGCTTTTTAGTTTAGCAAAAGAGCTCTGTACAACCTTAGAAATATGATCATGAAAAGTTAAGTGCTCATCAAAGATTATTCCTAAGTTTAATACCGATATTTTGTGTGTGAGCTCTTCACTATTGAGGCATAGCTTTATAGCATCTCCACTGAACTCGTTCTTCTTAGAGCGGAAGGTAATTATGGCCGATTTGCTACAGTTTATGTGTAACCCGTGGTATCTAAACCAATCACAAACGCCGCTTAAATCTACTGCTAGTTTTTCATTAGCATCAACACATGAGGAGGGATCATAGGATAGATAAAGCTGGGTATCATCAGCATAAGAATGTAAAGCGCAATGTTTGACCGACCGATCCAAGTCCGACACGTATAAAGTAAATAAGATTGGTCCTAAAATGGAACCTTGCGGCACAACCTTTACAATGACCCGATTGTCAGAATAGTCACTGCCTATTTTAACTTGTTGAAGTCAATCTGATAGGTAATTGTCAAACCATGTAATCGAATTCTCAGAAAAAACAAGAAAGTGCAGCTTAGCCAATAACATTTTGTGGTTTAAACAGTCAAATGCCTTTCTTAAATCCAGCAGAACAGTTGTAGTTACGCAGGAATTATCTATAGCTCTCAAGTAGTCATCACAAATGTCAACTAATGCAGTCACAGTACTATGATTTTTTCTAAATCCCGACTGTGTATTTGGAATTAAGCTGTATTTATTGATGTGTGTTAGCATTTGCTCGTAAAAGATCTTTTCTAGAATTTTTGACAAGAGTGAAAGTATGCTTATAGGCCTGAAATCGCAAGGCAATTGGGGATTATCGGTTTTACCAACGGGAATAACAGTTGCGGCTTTCCATATGAGTGGTACGATACCATGTTCCAAAGAAAAGTTTATAATATGAGTAAGAGCCTTGAGGCAAAAAGGAAGAATATAGGAAAATGTATCTATATTTAATCCATCTAGTCCGGTAGCACGCGACTTTATTTTTGAAAGGTCTTCAAGACTTTTTCCTCGGTAACAAACTTAAACTGAAATAGGTCATTGATATTTGGTAGCATGTTGGTGTTGTAGTACTCTAAGAGTGTTTCATTTATTGAGTTATCGGGAACTGAATCCACAAAACAGTTATTTAATATGTTGGGTTCCAAAGTACACTGATTATTTTTACCCTTAGAACCATGAATCCCTAGCTCCTTTATAGCTTTCCACCAGCTCCGAGAACTGTTGCTTTTTCTTAGCTGGTATTCAATATATGCTTTTTTTTCGCGCCTAATAGATGCTGTGACTAGATTCCTTAATTGCTTATAGTAGTTCCATTTGGCAGTTTTTATCTCGTCAGAAAAATTGTTCTTAACAGTTTTCTTATACTTAGAATAGGCGTTATTGCGTAACCGCATCATGAATTTAATATTGTGTGTAATCCAGGGACAACGTGCTTTTGATATCTTCCTGGTTTTAATTGGTGCGCATATATTTAGCAGATCATCAATAAGGCTGTAAAAATGTTGCAGTTTTGATTCAATGTCATCATAGTCGATAACACCTAGCCAGTGCATATTAGACGCTACCTCATTCAAAAGAGACTCATCAATATTCCTTAAATCACGGGTCTGTACATATTTTGTATCTCTAACGGCTGGTTCACATTCCACACAAAAATAAACTAGATAGTGATCGGACACCGCAGGAAGATTCACAACTCCTTTATTAGCAATCTTAACTTCATCATTAACGAAAACGACATCTATTAAGGTACTACTGTTATTCGTGACCCTGGTTCCATGGTCAACTATTTGATGCAGATTCAAATCTTCAAAAATGTTAGAGACAAAGACACATTCAGGACTACTACAATCAAAGAAGTTAATATTCAAGTCGCCCATGCATACTAAACCCTCTGATGTTGGAAATATAGATATCAACATTTCCTCCAGCTCCGACAGAGTTCTATAGCTGACACTGGGGGGTTTATAAACTACTCCAACCGTGTGCTTTTTTTTGTTGACAGATATATTTACCCAAAGCTGTTCAAAACCACTGTTCACCTCTGCATGCAAGTTCTCCAGCATTGAGCATCGTAAGCCAACTCTGACATATAAGGCAATACCTCCGCCTCGCCTATCAACCCTGTCATGCCTAAAAAGCTGGTATCCCGCAATTTCTACATTACTTTCAAAACGTCTGGTTTGAGCCAAGTTTCTGTGAAACCAACTATGTCAAAGTTTTGAGTGAGAACATAGTCCCTCACATCATGAAAAGAGCAAATTAGCGACCTAACATTGAGGCACCCTATCATTATATTATGCTCCTCATTAAGAATGACATCAAATTCACATAACAGAGACATAATGAAACAAAATATACGGATATAAAAACAAACAACAAGAAATAAAAAAGAGTATGAGATAAAAAGATTAAAAAAGATGGATAAAAAATGTGTTGTATGGAATAAAATAGAAATAAATAATATACGTTAATAAAAATAAGCCAAAGGATGTACTAGGAGTAGTTTGTTTTACTCCTGATAAACTTTTCAATGTTTTGTAGACACGCACACTTGTTATCCCATACAGAGTGACAGGTATCATAGTTTTTACCAAGTTTATTATTGGCATTTATGCAAATTATACAACACATGGAGTCATCATTCCTACATTGACTTTTTTCGTGTTTACCAGAGCAAGCTGGACAAATAGTCTGATTATTACAATTTTTTTGTATGTGACCGTATTCGCAACACTTGAAACAACGAACTACAGAAAAATGCTCGTAAACAGGACAACGATTCCATCCTATGTTTAGCTTTCCTTCACCCATTATCGAATGGAAAGACTTAGGATCTAGCTCAGCAACAGGATCAAACTTGTCATTTTTAACTGGATATTTATATACAATTCTGAATAATGGGTCATGTATATTAGATAGAACGCTATTTTGGTTAAACACTTTGTCTCTGAACACCACTGCATCTTCCTTGTAATAGTATTTATCTACTCCCAAGACACGAATGCGGGGATTCCGTTTTCTTGGTAAAGAGACAGAGCAACTATTCGACAATTGCCCCTCTATGGATGCCTTAACTTTTTCCAGCGATTGCCGATTATCACATTTTAATATAATGTCGCCGTTGGTATTTACCTTATTTATCTGCACACCAACCTGTAGATCCTCTGGATTTATTTTGCTAACCAGTTTCTGCTTAAGGGAGTCGCGTTGCTCATCATTTGCTGGCTTCACCAGTAGTAAGTGTTCCTCTGGCATAGTGCGCTTAACTGCATCTCTGTAACTGATATTTTGAACTGCAGGAGCCTCCTTGGCCGCAACATTTCTTTCTTTGGGTTGAGCAAATAGAAATACAGCTTGTTTGTCTCTTGAATTTTTGTCGGGTCTTGCTTAGTTCCCGAGAAAAAAGTTCACTTAATTGCACTTAATATGGGGAAACGTTTTTGGAAATTGTTTTTTTTAGTTTCTTATTACTAATTATGTAATAACTACAAATTAACACTACGAGTATATGAAATTACTTTTTTAATTAATTT